AGGCGGGGCGGCGCGCGGAGACCAGGGCGCCCGCGGTCTCGCGTGCGCAGGCGGACTCCGCGCGTCGTCAGCAGAGGTGCAGCGGCCCACGCCTGCCGCTCTTGCACGCGCGCACCAGTCACGCTCACGCTGCTCCTGGCGCACACAAGCCTCGGCCGCCCGGCCAGCGAACGCACGGCAGACCTGCTCCCCGCGCCAGCCAGCGCGTCCCGAGCCTCCGGAGCGCGCCGCACCCCGGGCCCAGCAGCCGGGACAGCGGACAGGGGGAAGAGACGGCGCGGGCAGGGCTGCATTCACGGAGCCTTGTGCGGACAGGTGCTTGGTTTACCTTGCGCAGGCTGCCCGGGCACCGAGGTCCCCGGATACCAACCCGGGCGGGTGCCCCAGGTGCCGGTCTGCCCGTTCAACATCCTCAGTTTATCATACATGCCGTCTGCGCCCATCTGTTGCTTTTCGCTAGCCAGGTTGCGAAGAACTCTGTTTATTGATGACACCTGCAAATCAAACCAAAATCAAACCAAATGGTGGCGCCTCCTCAACACACGGTCCCGTTGTAAGCCCCCATCTCAGCATGCCCACGCCCTTAAAGAACGACCCTTAACCCTTTAAAAAACTCCCAGCCATCCTGGGACAGTGGGTGAATTTGCAGAGACATGGTGGACAGAATGACAGCCATCACTTTGGGCATGGAAACTGAGTTGGGTTGGGTAGACAACTGGGGGTGGGGCGTGTTTCCTTTACCGTTGCTAGTTGTCTCTGGTGACCTAACTCACGTGGTTGCTTTCTTTGTTAAAAGATTTCCCCCCCAAAAAGATTTAGACTTGGTTTACAGCTTTCTTTCATTTTGTTTTATATTAGAGCAGAAATGGATGTTTAATGCCTGAAGGAAGGTTCAGGCAGGCATATATGGAGGAGGTTAGAATCTGGTTTTCATTTTCATTTTGCTTCTTGACTCAAGTGCCTTTCCTGGGGGGGTGGCCTCCGATCTCTACTTTGCAGCATGCAAATGAGATGAACAACTCCCCACACTTGACTCCCATTTTCCCAAAGGTCAAAGAAAGGTCAAGGTGCTCCTCTCAACACCCCCAGGTACAGAGGAGACATAGGTGGAGCAGGGAGGAGATAGAGAAAGACACCAGCAGGGAGGAGGTGAAGAAAGAGATGGAAAACAGGAGAGAGCACGGAGCTTAGGGCAGGGAGGGGAAATGTTCTCAGTGAACTTACACTTGGTATGTTATCGTTGGTACAGACCCCCTCGGACAGTAATCTGTCTCGGATTTCCCAAGCAAAGATGGACGGGCACTCCCGCTTATACTGGGCTATTTTGCTTACAACTTCTGGAGTCGCTACTCTCGGTTTACTACCACCGATTGCCCTGGGTCTGATGGAGCCAGTCTCGTAATACCTGCCCAGAATTTTACTCACACATCCGTTGGACACCTGCATAGGGGAAGTGGACAGAAAACCACATTATTAATAATTTCAAGACAAAAATAAAATTGTTTAAGTATGCATTAAACAATGACAAGCTTACGTTTTGATTGTCCAGCACTTGGACTTTTGCATCTGCATGGGTCTATAACACAAAAATATACCTTCAATGGTACGAGAACTTACTGTAGAGAGCTTTTTTCTTAAAATTACATTTGTAGCCCTAAAAACTACAAATATGATGATACTTTCAAACAGTTTGAACTAAAAAATCTAAGTTTTTTTTTTTAAAAAAAACTGTTGTCTTAAACATTGCCTGAAGATGCATCAAAACGAAGTCAGATTAATTTTTTTGGTGCTCACCTGGCTTAAAATGGTGTTATGTTTTAATGAGCAAATGGGAAAAATAAACTGAATTTTTACTTATTTTTCCTTTAAAAATATGCCCAATTGAGTAATGTGAGTTAGGGAGGAGGGGAAATAGCATGTCTTTTTTAATCAATAAATCTTCATCAATATGAAGAAATCAAATAAATATCTCAAAATCTGAGGTAAACATGGGATGAGGGGGAGGGGAATGAAATTATGCCAGTTTATATAACGCATTTTATTATAGTTCATAAACTGTTACCACAATGAATGTTTTCACCAAATGAAGAGAGAAAGATGTTGGCTTTTCTTAATATTCACAGACAATTTTTTTTCTTAAGCAGATGAGTTATCTTATGTGACTGACCCAGGTTGAAAGAGAAAGGGAAGGATGGTGGAGGAGAGGCAAAGAGGGAAGGCAGAGGGGTGGCGACTGGGGTGGGGGTCCACAATCGGCAGCGTTTACAGTAAGAGATGAAGAGAGGGCGTTGAGAGTGGAGGGCCGCGGGGGCGGCGAGGGGGTGGCGCCGGGAGCATCACCTGCAGAATTCGGGAAATGTCGCACGGCCGGGCCCCGCTGTGAGCTAGCTCTACGATCTTCTGCCGGGTGGAGTCCGGCAGTGGCCGCCCGTTGACAAAGACACCACCGAGCTGGTTCACTCCGCTGTGACCTGAAGAAAGGGAGAGGAGAGCAGAGCAGAGTGGACAGGAGAGGAAGAAGAGGAAAGAGAAAGGAAGAGGAAGAAGAGGAGGAAGGAGGAGGAGAGAAGACAACCACAATGCATCCTTAGCTCCCTGCCAACTTGTGCCAACCTCCCAGGTCAGGTCCCTGCTCTTGATCACAAATGACCACAGGACCACACAGCCATGCAGGGCACCAGGCAGCCCAACCTCACACACAGCCGTGCTCCGGCCCACCCGACTGCAGAAGCACCATACAGACATATGCCAAGGAGCAAGAACACACACACCTCACTACCACCGTCACCCAGCAGTGCCCCCAGCCCACTGCCCCTCTTCATAGACACCCCAGCCAGCCTCTGAACCCGCAAGGTGCCAAGAATCCGCTCAAAAAATATCCTCCTGAAGATCCCTTCTGAGTGTCACGGCAAACTGTAGGGTCTCCAGAACCCACACTGAATCTGCAAGGTTTCCGCATTGTTGGAACTGTGATAGCAAATCCCACAGCCCTGCCGCGCTCCCTTGCACGCTAGAGTCCAGAAACGTTTGTCGTCACACTCCAAACTCTGGCAAAGGCACGGCACGACCATTGGGATTTAAAAAAAAAGAACAGAAGAGATGGGAAAGGAGTAGAGAAGAACCAGAACAGCATAGCATCTCTTTGGCTAGTGAACCCAACCTGGGTTTCAGCGCCTGCAACTGCAGGGTGAGGGTCTGAGCCCCAGATCGGCTCCAACCACCAAGTAGTCCGGCAGCAGCCGTGGGGCCGAGAGCTGGGAGTCTGTCCGCACCCGCCACAGCTCGCTTCACTTCCGCTGCTAAACTCAGCCCTCCCCACAGCAAAGGACAGATAGCAGCAAAAATTAAAAATCGAAAAGGAAAAGACCACACCACAGTGTCCCCCATCCCTCCTTCATCTCATCTCACAACCTCACCCCATTGTCTAATCTTACAAAACAGGGAGAGGGAGGTAGCACCCCTCTGTAGCCCCCTCCCCGGGAACCACAGGCACAAATAAAGCCAATTGCCAAATTCCACTTCTTTAAAAATCTCCAACCTGCAGCCCCAACTCCAGAAAGCAGCCTTCCTGGAGAAGATGTGGCTCCCTGCTCTCCTCTCCTCTCCTTGGAGCCTCTGATAAATTGACTCCAGGAGCCTGAGCTTCTTAGCAATAAATAAGCTCCAAATATAGAAGAGGGGGGAAAATATGATGAGCCTCTCTGACATTTGTCTTTAAAATAAAACTAGCTGCACGTCAAGTTTGAGCTTAATTTCTGGAAATAGGCGGAAGTCGCTCCGGATCATGCATGGAAGGCTAATTGAAAAGATCAGTCGGGGCGCTTGTGGCGGCCTTGTCACTTTGTGACAGTGCTCCGCTCCGGGAAATTGCATCGTCACGACAAACGGGACCGTGATAAAACGACCCTTTCCGTCCCTATTTGTAGATCACTCAGACGAGATTGAACTGCGCTTGTCTCCCCTTCGAGGGGAGCCGCGTTTTCAGTGTAGCCGGAGGCCTGTGGGGGGGGGGCCGGAGCCTCAATTCGATGAGAAGTGACAAGCGTTGGGGGATCTGGGCTCCGGCCGGGCCAGCGCGAGGAGCGGGGACAACGCGGGGACACCGCTCCGGCAGCAGAGCCACGCCTGCTCGGCGCTTCTTCCGGATCCCCCGTCCCCTCGCTGCCCGCCGCGGCCTAGCAGGACCCATCCGCGCGCCAGCCCCGGAGCCGCCTCTGGCAGAGGGAGCCTTCCCGGAGAGACCGAGACGTTCCCCAACTTCACGCCCGGCCTGGGCATCTCCCAGTCCATGAACGCCCCGGCCTGCGCGGCCGCCTAACCCTGGCCTTCCCTCCTCCTCCTGCAAAAACCGGGCGCGCCCCTCCGCACGACCGCGGCGGGGGCTCCCCGAGACGCGGGCCAGGCCGTCTCGCCAGCATCGAAGTGGCAGCGAGGACGCGCGGCTCTAAGCGCCCCTGTAGAGGTTAAGCCTCAATCATTGTGTCCCTTCCCTAGGGACGGCTGGCGCTCTCGCCCAGTGGCGATGATTATGCTCCTAGAATTCGACCGCGAAGCATCTAATAGGAAAACATATGGTGTCAATTTGGATGCTCTGCGCCTCGCGCACACCCGGGAGCGAGCGGCACAAAGCCCCACAGGCCGGCTCGCGACCCTGAGCGCCGCGGGGCTGGCCGGCCAGGCCGCAGCAGCAAACGCTCCGCGCTGCTCCGGGCCGGCCCCCGAGAGCCTGCGGCGGGGGAGCCTGAGCCGCAGGGGAGAAGCCGGCAGCCAGGAGGGGTGGGCAAAGCCTTCCCCTCGCCAAGGAGGGTGCCTCCCGGGCCAAACTCCGGGGCCTGGCACGTTCTGCACAACTAACCTGCCTTAAAGCTCGCCGCCTTTGCGCCCTCTCCTGCGCATCTCGCCCACCGGCCGCGGAAGCACCAGGGGGCTGCTAGCGCTTCCAGGACAGATGGCTCGGGCGCCAGGGCCCCTCCTTGTCTGCAGTTCGGCAAGGGGCGGCTGCTGGATGACTTAGGCCTTTCGGCACTCCTGCTACAGCTCAGTCCTTAAACCGCGTCCAGGCTCCGCACCTCAACCCGGGCCTAGTTTCACTGGGCCTCCAGGCTCCCAGGCCCGGCCTCCAGACTAGCCCTGCCACGTGCCAGCCCCCACGGACTGAGCAGGAAGGTGGGCTGGGGGCCCAAGGGGCCTGGACAGAAGGAGAATGGGAGGCCGAAGAGCCCGGCAATCAAACGCACTGCGGGCCGGAGAGACCCGGACCCACAATAGTTGCAGCTACCAGGGCAGGGCTTCCTCCACTCCTTGGTTCGACCCCCACTCTACCTAGCGCTGAGAGCACCATTCCAGCCCCATGGTGCGAGTTTACCCCCTCCACCCAACGGCAGGCCTGGGTGCCCGCTCCCCTCTCCTTCTGGGCCCCTGACTGGGGGGGGGAGGGGAGGAGCTGCCCTGAGAGTAACTGGGGGAGGGGATCTTCCCCCACTCTCCTGGACGGTGGAGACGTTCAGTCCGGGCTGAGCCCAAAGGGGCCTCCTTCTTCTCGCGCAGCCAGGAGAAGCCTCGCCCGCCCTGCTCAGCCCAGCCCCTCTCTCTGGGGTCAGAGCCCGGGCAGGGGCGGGGAGGGGGTGTGAGTTACAGGATTTGGGGGGATGGGGTTTCTCTCCCTCAGCTTTGCAAACTCAAGCGGGCTGCTCTGAAGGGCCCAGCCCCTGTTCTTCCAGGGACGAGAACAGCCGCGCAAACGCCCTCCCCTCTCGGGTTGCAGTGCGCTGAGGGGGCCCAGCCGCCTCAGGTCCCCGGGCCTCTTTCCTCGCGGGCGACCTGGCCAGCACCGACACCGCGAACCTCTGCGCCCTCCCCTGACCCACCGGTCCGCGCTCCCCAGCCCGCAGTCTGAGAATGACCAGAGGCACTTACTGTTCTGCATGCTGGCGCTGGCTGGGGGCCTCGGGGTCCCACGGGGCTCGAAACTGGGGCTCTGTTAGCAAGAGTATAGGTGTCAATCCCGGCCCGCGCCAGGTGCGCCTCCCTCCCGACAGAGGATGCCCTGGAGCCGGGACAGGAGAATGCCCCTTCTGTAGGAAATGATGATCCACTCAGTCTCGTGGGGTGATCTGAGGGTCATCCAGCTCCGCCCTCCAATGCATGCAAAGTCTACCCTTTGGGCTACAAATAAGATTCCAATATTCCCAATCTGTTTCCCCCAAATCTCTTAGTAGTTAACCCTTTAATCAGGAGAAATGATGAGTCCATTTTGAATTTTTTCTTCTATCTGAACAACAGTGAAGAAGGCTTCTGATTCTTTCGTGTTTTGGACCCCAAAACAGCCACCACAGAACTTGCCTGAAATCTGGGATGTCTGTCCACTCTTACAATAAAAGGTCTCACGCATCTGCGCACCCCTAGTTAAGTCTTCCCCCTAAGACAAAACAGAAAGAAAGATTGGTCAAACTGTGGCTCAAAAGCAAAGGCCCATGGGCTCTAGAGCCACACTCTCAGGAGTAAAAAAATGCATCTAGGGCCTAAACTGCCATGAAACCCCAACTCCCAGAGTTACACCCATATTTCCAGTGGCCTCTCCTACAGAAGTCCCCACCTTTTGGAAGTGGCTGCACTGGCCTGGCTTGGGATAATTGGAGAATCTGACAAGTTGGGACCCCATTTTGCAAAAATATCAAGAAGCAGGGAAAGGGGAGGACAGAGAGAAACAGTGGGGTGAGGGGTGGAGGCCAATGACTAATACCTGAGGTTCAGAGGTGAGGGGAAGGGGACCCAGAACTTCAGGGAGTCTGAGGGTGCAGGTGGGGCAGACCAGGAAGGCTGCAGAGCCATACTCCCTCCCCAAGGAATTTCACCACCCAGGTACCCCAAGGCCCCCAGAACCCAACTCTCTGGTTATCCCTTTATCTTCCACTCTCCTTCTCAAAGCCTCCCAGTCAGGCCCCCACTCCACTCATCTCCCAGCCTTTCTGGGACTTTGAAAGTGGCGAGCCCAACTTTTTCCCCCCAAACCTCACTTATTGTGATTAACTTCTCTTGTGGTGTTTAGATCTTCCCCTTTCACTGTACTGTGACACACGCTGTCTACCTCGCCTCACTGCTTTAAAAAGTATGAACAGGAGGGGGTGAGCGTGGTCGACAAAGCCTACAGACAGCGAACAATGGCTTCTATTCTCCAGCTCTCCCCAAACCCAAAGAGCAAACCCGAGTCTCCCTAACCAGCAACACAGCTTCCAACCACACACACCAACAACCCACCAACTCACAAAGGGACAGAGGGATGCGGCTCACTTTGTAAATCCTGACCCAGCGTGGGTCCCCCAAGATTTGCCCTCCACTACCCCTCCCTGCCTTCTCCTAAGAAGAAGGCTCTGGGGGAGGATAGAAAAGTAATTTCTTGTTATAAATATCAGGAGGTAATTGTGTTACTGGTGTGAGTTGTTAGGGGCTGTAAAAAGATACAACGGCACCGCGGGGAGCTCAATTGGGGAGAGCGAGTTACAATAGAAACCCATTCAGGAGGTATGCCAAAAAAAAAAAAAAAAGTAAAATAATTAAATAGCCACAGCATCATTTCTCCCTGTTATTAAAAAAAACCTAAAATATTCGTTCTTTTTCCTGTTTTACTTATTGTGACTATTAATTTTGCCTGCGTGCAAGTAAAGAATTCCAAGAGAATTTTTTCTCTTCAAGGCCATTCATGGTCTAATTTATTAACTAGCTGGGAGGCCGCTTAAATCCATAAAAATAAACTTAAGGGGAGGACTTTTTCCCAGCTTCCGAGTGCGGCCTAGTAAATACTGGAGAGGAGAGGGCTCCGAGCAACCCTCGGTGTCGGTTCCCACGGCCCCTCTCCTGTGTCTCAGCCCCCACGGCCACAGTCATGCCCGGGACAGGCAGAAACCCCAGCTCCGTGAAGCATGTGCCTCCCCCCCACAAGTGGGGCTCAAACTGCGAAGGGGTCGCAGGCCGGCGGGGGAGCGGGATTCCCCTGGAAGGGGCAGAACTTCCCGCACTCCTCTCGGTTACCCACACTGTACTCAACCCCACCTGAATGCCCCCAACCGCGCGGCACACTCTCGAAGCCGTTTAATAAAATTCGCTCGCTGATTCTGGAGAGGCCTAGCCGATAAATTTTCGAAGCAGCTGGGAAGGTGGAAGCATTTCAAGTTCCGGTTCTGCTCCATTCCCACCCCCTTGCGGCTAAGAAGCCATCTAATTACTGAAGTCATCGCTAACGCTTAGTGCAGCAGCAGCCCGGGAAGAGCGCACACCGACGCCGGAAGCAGTCCTGCGCCGAGAGGCTGGACCCCCAGCTCAGCCGAGCTTCCCACGGCCCGAGGCGGGGCGAGGACCTACGCCGGGAACCAGGGAGTCTCCAGACACCTCGGAGGCGCCGGGCCCTGGTCCACTAGGCCACGGGGCCAGTGATTCCCCCACGCCCAGCACAAGCCTCAGCTTTCAAAGGCCGTTGTTTTAATTACTTAATTCTCAAAATCCATCCCCAAACTCCTTAGCTGGGGTGAAGGCGAGAGCTCACTTTCGCCTCTCCCGGCCCCCAGCCAAAGAGTAATTAGCAATTAAGATGACAAAGTTTTACTTTCTAGGGCCAAATAAGATAACTAATCACACTGCCTTCAGACGTGCGCAAAGGTCACCGGCTATAAAAAATGGAACGTCAACGCTGCAACTGTTACTGCTCCTCCGGCAACTCGCCTGGTTTTCCAGCTCTCAGCTTTTCATTACATTTTCTGCTCCCGCCCCCTCCTCAAACCTTCCCAAGTTCGACTTAAACGTCTGAACGGCTTAGGGGGCTTTGGCGAGTATGAGAAAAAAAGAAACCACGTTCATTTTGTTTTTAAACTTTCTAGAAATCACTCGTGACTGGAGGGCCGGGTTTTAGCACTCGAAAAAGAAAGCATTTCCACTTGAAATTCAACTCCGTTTCCCCCCAATTACACTTGCTAAAATTCAGGGCTATTATGGTGCCGGGAGACTGAGAAATCTGCACAAGGAAAGAGGCAACAACTTTATGAACTTTGAAAAGACACTTTTCCTCCTGGGGTCTTAGAACGAAAAGCTCTCAAATTACTCAGACTAATTAGCTGGGAGAGGATGTGATCAGACGAAGGGGAAAGCCAATGCCTTCATAGTGATTTTTTTTAAGGCCTCACAAAGAAAAAATCAAGGGATTTGGAATTTTTTTTTTAAATGCAATCCACCTTTCCACCTCAAAACTTGTTGGAACGGCAACACCGTGTGCAGCTTTGTCGGAGAAAGACAAGGAAAAATACCCACCGAGCGCTGGGGCTGGAGGGCAGGGAGACCCCCGCTTTCGCAGGGCGACGGCGAAGGTCGGGGAGCGGGGAACAGAGTTTCCGAGCGCCGCTCCACGCTCGAATCGGGGCGAGCCGGGGCTCGGTGGAAGCCGCCAGTCCTCCCGCCCGGCCCGGCTCCTCGGAGCGCGGCCGGCTGGCCCGGGGCTGCCTCCCCGGCTCG